GGTCAAGTAGAGAGTAGAGATGTTGCCGTTCGGGTTTCGCCATTGTTGATTTTCAATCGTATTTCAAATTCCTTACAAGGAAGAGGAACAGTTACTAGTACTTTATATTTAAATCCATTTCTCCAACCACTCTTTTCACTGAATTCCGTGGTGTTTTCTGGATGCTTTCACTTCTTTGATATTTTCATCTTATCTTCTAACCTTTGACCTTTTATATGTTCTTTCCCTTTGTCACCAATAGTCCCATATTGCTCAAAAATTGGTACACCATCTGAGAAAATTGCTTCACAACTGGATACTTCTTTTTTCTGAACTCTATTTACTGGTACCGATGGTTTTCCATTTGTTCATTTTACAAATATCAGCAGAGATCTCTTTCATGCCCGTTCACACGGATCTTCTACTTAAATTCGACGTATAAGCTAATTCCTTGTGTTAACGTTAAACCGCGCTATCATGAGGGATTTAATGCGCATTAATTTGATTCAAATTAATTTCACTTGCTTCAAGTTACTTCGCATTAGAACGCTTAGAGAAGTGTACTCGATATAGATATATCCGTAATAGCAAATAACATCAATGACAAATAACATCAATATAACTAATAATAATAGCTTGGTTTTTCACAGAGAACAATCCTTTTTCTGTGTTTAAGAAAATATTTACAAATAAGAATTTTAAAAAAAAAAAAAAAAAAAAAAAAAAAGCATATTAAACGCTCAAAATCTGTACGTGCCTTTTGTATTTATATCATAGGTATGTGACCTTTATGTACAATTGTATTCTGTTCAATAGGTTTCTTTTTGTCTGAATTTAACCTCTTTAATGAATGACAGGAATAGAATAATGACATCTTGATATCTGTTTATTCCAACTTTTACGATTTTAAGGATAAAATACCATTGTAACAAAGATGATGAGGTTTCATGAATAAATAAATGATTCGATTTCAGTTAAAGCTCGAATATCAGAGGTAATATGGAAGATAATATTGGAAATCAAATCTTTCAAGTTTTATAAGCCAGCCATGAATTTGTATAAAACATTATTAAAAAGCGGGGATATAAAATGGAATCAATTTGATATGAAAATTAACGGTTTTAATGTGATCGGAGAGAATGTTAAAAGTTTTGATTTAGAACATAATGAAATATTGATGGTATTATTGTATATAATATACATGCTGGACTAAGTTGTTAAACCCAACCATAAGTTTACATCAAATATTTATTTTCATTAAAATTACATTCCCCCGTCGCTGTCCTATGTTGGCGTAAGCCGTTGTATGGGCATTGTTAGTCTAAAAAGAGTTCACCTGAAGAAAGTGGGGGATCTTAGAAAATGTTCCTTAGTATCAAGTAGTGAAAGAATCTAAATATAAGCAATGATTTAAGTGATATGGCCCATTAATTTTGACTATGTGGTTGAAATTAAGAATATGATTAAGACATGCAAAAAATATATTTTTGAAGACAGTTCTCAAAAACATCTCGACATGTAATGCGGAATACCAAACATTACACGTGCATGTTGATAAACAAAGATTAATCATTAAATGACCTTGCTAAAAGACCACACTTTTCTTTCAGATGTAACCTGTTTTAAATTCTATTCATCGCCAAATTTATTTCTATAAGCGATGTTCTGCACATACTCAGCCATCGTTTTGTTCTGTAGGTAGTTAGATTAAACTGTTACAGAGCACAGCACTCTATGGTTCTTTTCGCCAAAGCTTGTGTCAAACTGAATGTTATTCATTTATTTGACTACTTTTGATATTCAATCCACTCGAACAACATGGTGGCAACTGAAAGTCTAAACTGTGTGTGCACAGTTGACGTCAAATAATAAGAAAAAAGTCATTAGCATATTCTCATATGATCCTACACAAAAAAGGAACAAATAATCGCTAAACTATTTTTGTTCACAGGGAATCACGCGCAACAGGCTATCATGACATTTAGGCCTACTTTTAATATAGCTTAGTGGTATTATATACCTGTTATGTTGAACAAATATAAGTGTAGACCAATTCATTTTTGCAGCGGACGGCTTCGTAACTGTAATCGTATACTGTACACACCTGGCAGTCACCTCACCTGTATATTTGTCAAAAACCCCTATCTAAAGACATTGACAACCTACTTACTCTCGTAAAACTTTGATATCTCAATTATATAATTTAAAATAGCAAAAACATTGTGATATGTTTGCCTGCAATATTTCAACCAACGACCATCTTTCTTGCGATAGAACAAGTTTGCAATTAAACGATGACTGGTTTATTTTTAGAAAACATTCTGTGAAATCTTCATGTCAGTTTGATGTTCCCTAAATGATACTGATCAGTTGGTCGCCATAATTCTACGCTTACTTATCATTATCGAGAAGGTGTAATACTTCCATAGAAATGAACATTTCTCTTTTGATTGGCTTGATTTCTATCAGGTAGTAGTAATAATGACTTCTAACAGCACGTCTTTCCTTCTTCGATTAGCACAGATATTCCGCAGTATATATCAATTTGATGTTCTAGATACCACTACATCTTTCCCCGTTGGGATTATAATCAGAATGGGGTTTTATAAGATTTATGAATGTAAACTAGATGCACTGCATATACCAGTTTACAACAGGGTTGGCAAAAAACGGGAAATACTCGTATTTCCCAGGATGGTGGGAAATACTGATAATTCCCGGGAATTGCTGGTATTTCCCGGGAAATACTCGGAAATAAGAAATAGTTTCATATATAGCAACATATTTTTACAATTTTGATAATATTTGTCCGGGTATAGACCTTATTGGCTAAGATATCTACCTGGTATCACCGTCCCTGATTTAAACATTTCTGGTTTCCTAATAATTCATATTTAATAATCACAACACAGTATACTCATATACCAGCCATAAGTGTCATTTATTTCATACTTGAGTCAGCTGTAGTCTACAAAGGTCCATGAAACGAACTCAAAGATCCGATTTGGGTGTTTTTATGTAACTAAAGAAGGATCAAAGAAAATTGTTAAATGTAAAATATCATGAATATGGTGTAAATATCAAACCAAAAGTAAAAAGAGGCCTTTCAGGTCTACTAAAGTTAATTATTTCTCAAAACGGGATCACAAAACTGTCGAAAGCAATTTGTTAAAGCATGATTGATTGTAATAACTAAGGTGTTTATAGAAGGGTTCAAACAAATTAATTTTGTTCTTGATTTGTAATTGATAAACTTAATAATTTAATAAAACTGAAAAGAAACTTGGATTTGAAAACTTAGGTGATATTCTTAAAATACAGCCAGGGAACCATTTCTGCTACAGAATGCTTATGGGTAGGGAATCTGGGGTTGTGATACACTCTGAATATGTTAAATTGCAGTTTGAGACATATTCAATATCAACCATCTTCTGTTTTTAATCTTTAAATGTTTATTTTATTTTTGAATTTTGTATAAGATTGAATAAGTTAAAGAAGTTAAAAAACTTTAACTTTGTATTTCTCAGTATTTCCTAATATTTCCCAGTGTATAGAAAATTTGTAGTATTTACCGGGAAGGGAAATACCGGTATTTACCACTGGTAATTCCTACCACTGGTATTTCCCGGCCAACCCTGGTATACAAGTGAAATAAAATATGAAATGTTACGTTAGAAATTTAATTACAACGACATGTCAACGTACATGTATAATTCATCTAAGTTTTTCTTTTAAAAACATATAGATTTATGATCAGGTCCTTCCTTTTCCTATTCCTGTTGTTGTATTTCAATACAATGAAAAGTGTACACTGAAAGAACTTCCATTACAAAAAGTAAATCTGATAAAATGAAAGTTTTTAGAAAGTACAGTATTAATTAAAATGTCTGGATGTCATTGCCTATTTTTAGACTATTTGAGCCTCGAGAAAAAGAAGAGTTTATTGTATTATTACGGAGTGTTTTTAAAATAAGGTGGATCTTTTGGGTAATTTTAAGGTGGATCTGTTGGGTAATTATTAGGTGGATCTGTCTGGTAATTTTTAAAGTGGATATGTTGGGTAATTTTAAGTTGGATCTGTTGGGTAATTTTAGGTGGATATGTTGGGTAATTTATTGACCACCCAGCCTCCTTAAATGCAGTAACTGAATTGTAAAGCTATAAAACATTTCAATTATACACCCAAGTACTCCAAAGATGATATTAAAAAGATGCTCGGGTTTCTGATTGACAATATCTATATAATTTTTGGAGATTACATCTTCCAACAATCTGTTGGAATTTCTGTTGGTGCTAATTGCGCCCCGTTTTTAGCAGAGCTTTCTTGTAGTCATATGAAGCAGAATTTATTCAAAAACTTTTATATGAAAAGGTTTCTTGCTGCGACCTTCAATATTTGACATTTAGATACATCGACGACGTTTTTTCAATTAACAATATTCATTTTCATTCCTACATTGATTCGATGCATCCGTTTGAACTTGAAATAAGACACCATAGAGTCTGACACATCTGTTTTATAATTGGATATTTTAGTAGAGAAAGACATTAATGGCAAAGTAGCAACTTTACTTTATGATGAACGTGATGACTTCAACTTTTCTATCGTCAACTTCCCTTATTTATGTAGCAATATTCCAGTATCATTATCAACTTCATGGAGTTTATGTCTACCAGTTGATTTGATTCGCAAGAGCATGTTCGACGAACGAACAATTTCTAAAACGAGGCATGCTTTTGACGATGAGTCGATGATACAAGGTACTTGACTTTCAATGTACACATTATTGTGACACATTTCAATTACCAACCATTGATTCAAAGAAAATTTACTAAATTCAGGAGATCTTTTGGTTAATGGATATATAGCATACTAACCTATATCAATATTTGCAGGAATTTTATTTTCTTTCTGAGATCTGTCGTAGAATATTTAAATTGATGGGAATTTTAAACTAACATTCAAACAATGACAATTAATAAAACAGCTACCACTTCATTCGTGAACAGAGTATACTTACTCCCAGTTAGATTCTGGAGGAGGGAGATCTCCAATGGTTGTCAGAGTTAGTGTAGACCAGAATAGAGAGGTTAAATACTTCCGGGTCACTGTTGCAAACTGTCCCACTGGTTTGGGATAGGACCAATCGCCTTCGAAATCTTCTGCTTCAGATATCATATAGTAAAAAGACGCAAACCAATGCGATCCCAAAAACAGTATGTGTGTCAAGTTTGCCACTCGGAAAAAGTTTGGAAAGTGAGTCCGTGTTTCAAGCAAGTGCAGAAAACGAAAACTACGATAGACTTTTAAGAATCTTGGAAAACGTAACATAGGATGAACACCAATGCTGAATTGGAGAAAATCTAAAGGGATTAAAGACGCAAGATCAAGAACTAAGTCTTTTGTCCGTACATATCTCATTAGAAGTTTTTTTGAGTTGTAGACCATAATGCCCTTGTCTAAATATCCAGTTCGAATTTGCACAAAAATATCGAATACATAGATACTATCACAAAAAATATCACATCCTATCCATACCATCATGTTTCTCTCTTGAATTTCTCGAAAAGCTTCCCGAGCAATGCATGTCCAGAGATTGTAAAGTATAGAAAGAGTTAAAATGCACAACCAGTAAAACATAATGTTTCCGTCTGGTTGGAGCACGGTCAGGTGTTTAGAACGGCTTTCGACTTCAGATTGGTTGTTTTCTAAATGTTCGTCAATGGTTCCTACGGAATCGGCTCGGTAAGGTTGCCTCGTCGAAAATTTCTTCAAGAAAGAATCATCCCTATTCAACCCTTTCTTCATCGAAACTGCAGCGTTTGTAACACGTACAGCATGCCGAATACTGCGCCATCTACGTCCGACATTTCCACCTGCTGTGCTTGATTGCCCAGGTACCTGAAGTCTCGCCAAATTGGGTGGATTTGAATTGTTTAGAGAGGAAGAACTTGACTTTCTCGTGCATTTTTTGTCTTGGTTTAAGGGTTTATAGGGTATATCCACGTCCCCATCTTTCTTGGTCAAAAGCAGTTCAATACTATTCGTATGTGGTTGTTTTTCAGTTTTTTCTGTTGTCATTTTTGTAGTCTGAGAGGTTTTCAGCTCTGTGTATCCTTTTCTAAAAATATTACATATAATGACAAATTGCCAAACATTTAAAATGTAGAAAAGTGCCCTTTTTTGTGAAAAAAAATCAAATGTTTTGCTCCGTAATAGCAGGTAAATACTGATGTTCTTTCGTTAATTTAACGTGTAAGAAATTCTGAAGAAGAAGAGATGTTATAAAGTATTTTGCATTAACTACAAAAGAAGCAACTTACTTATACACTTACTTATGTGTTCTTACTTTTCTAATTTGACTTTTCTTGATTTTACTTTTAATACACTACAGATTTCCCATTCTATTGAATATTAAGGATAATTTTTAGCATGTGAATGTGCAAGCTAAGGATGTACGACAATCAAACACGCCCGAAATTCATAGCTACGAGAACTTTCAGATAAAAGAATTATCTAAACTTAAGTCTGTTTTTATAATATACTTTTATGCAATACTATTATGCAAGTTTGACATGTAAGTCGTAAATTAACTGAAGAACACTATGTGCCCCTTTAAGTACATGTAATTCCTTTCTTGACATCCGTAACTTTCAATTCAACAATCAGATTGCATTTCAGAAGAATACGCCATTATTAATTAAATATCATGATTAACAGTTTACCATTTCCAATATGTACCTGTCTAGGGGAAACAATGGGCTCCTTCTGATACCGGGTCAGTTTCCGGCCACATGAGTTGAAAGCAGGTGGTGTCCGTAATCTGAGTCAATAACAAATTGGGAAAAATGATCCCAATCTGAAAAAAATAGCACTTATGTCCAAAAAAAGAAAATTCCTAGTTTTAACAACTCGATGGAGGGTAGTAAAAATTTATAACCAGTGTGAGAAAACAGCAGAAGTACTATTATGCAGCTGCTGGTCAATTTATCACGGAGAACTCCTGTTAATTAACTGTTGCGGGCCGGGCTGTGTTCTGGGTGCTATGTCTGTATTCGCTTGTCCATATTGTATACGCGATCAATAAGCGCTGGTAGAGTCCCCCTGGTCCGATGACCACGCGCTTATAAGGATCAAAAGTCAGGCACTGATCGGTTAAAATATTTCAATATGTCTTATACAAAAATGTTGATGGGTGTCGATTTGAAGATTTGGCAATCAGAATATTGGGCTATAAAGCGTGCTTTCTCGGTCTCAATACCGATATACCACGCCTCGGTGCAATATCTGTATGCGTTAGGGAAATAGCGAAGGATTGGAATTATATTTTTTAGGTGGTGGAGATTTATTGACAGCCGTTGGTATGCTATCCTTACAGATGATTATTTTTCTATGCGTTTCAAACATTAAAACTAGAGAAAGGCAAGATCGTTGCATGCCTTCCTTGTCAAAAAAATGTGTATTGATGTGTATATGGTGACCCAACGATGTTTGGTGTCATTTAATCAAAAAATAAGCGTATGACCTATTCCACAAATGAAGGTAGGGTTTATTATCTGACCTTTTTTTTAATCTAGATGAGATTATTTGCCAGAATTTTCACACTTACAGACTTGATTCATATTTTTCTAATTAGAAAAATGACGCTCTGATATTAAAGTCATGAAAAGTAGGGCTCGCGATTTTATTTAAGGAAGAACAAGTCGATCATGATAGTTATAACAACTTTGGAAAACACACTGTCGACATAGGGTTAATTCAATATTGACCAGTATGAGGAACAGTAATAGGTAATGAAATATGATATATATATTTTACTCCAAAAATCCTGGATCCCCCTGGCGGAAAATTTACCAATCATTTAAAATGTATCAACATTTTACCCTGTTTTTGTTTACTAGTACATGTATCCTGTTCTATAAGTGAACTACGTGTTCTTTGTTTTATAAGATTGTTAGCACCTTCTTACAAATTAATAAAGAAATTTAAAGAGAATTATCTTCATTGGTTACATGTAGTAATTATAAATATCGGTAGAATTTTTGCACTACATGTACATGTAAATGAAAAGATGAGTGTTGCGTGGTTGTTTACCATTGTCCTTTCGACGAAACTAAATATAATTCATATCAAAAAGAGAGGGGTGGTAGATACATGTAGTGCATGTCTTCTCAATTCTATTTATTCCTCTATTTGTAAACGTTGTATGAACATGATAATATAAATATTCGACTTCCATGTTTCACGGAAAAGACTATCGTTTTCTTTCTTTAATTAGGATACAATTATTAGCGTACCGCCTTAAAGATTATTAAGGTACACTCAACGTCAATTTCAGTTAAAAGAGTTCATTTTGCCAAGCTTTCTGATTCAAACTTTGGTTGTAAAACTTATAAAGTGTTCTGAATTCGAAAATAAAATCAATAACCGTACGCGTTTGTTTAATTTAAAATGACGAAACAGTTTTAAATTTTGTTTATGTTTTAATGGACTTTTACCTATGTAATATTTACAGTACATGTACATGTATAATCGCTTTCTTCAGCGATTTAGAATTGCTCTACTAAGTATTATTTATTGTTCATTCTAATTACATGAAAATTTGACCATTTAATATACAAATATGTTCTTTAAAGTCCGAGTGTAAACGACATGATCAAGCACAAATGATTCTCTGTGTAGATGTTTGTTGTTAACAAAGATATGTTATGAGTAGCTTATCTGAAAACATTAATTAATGTTCGATAAAATGAAACACTTCTAAGAAATCTTTACCATGGTTTATGCTAAATACAATAGAGAAAAAAAGATTTACAATACTGCGCTCTTACCTTTGTATTGCAGGTAAATTCTCGTGAAATCGTTGGCGGTGATTTTCACATCTTACTGAGAGTCTGTAAAGTGACAATAATGACGGTGTGATCAGAATAGAGTAGCAGCTGAGACTGCCAGTAGATTTTATAGCGAAAGAGTCAGGTGCCAAGTTTAGTATAAAAATGGTTTTTTAACCAATGTACGTACACGTCAATGGTCAAATCTCTCTCTCTCTCTCTCTAAAAAAAAATGCATCTTGTATACTGAATTTGCCCCTAAAATAAATTAGACTTTCCAGTAAGGGTGTAAATAATGTGAAACGAACAACATAAAAACGTGTTAACCATATAAAGGGCCCTCTATACACAGCAATCTGAGTTTCATGGTGGGTTTTTTTTTTTTTTTTTAATTTTTTTGCATTTTTCTCCCCTTTGATTAAAAAAAATATGAATCAATTGAAATCCATGGGTAAAACCCAATTTGTAATCCATTCAAGAATTCTTAACATAATGTAAGACCAAGAGACTATATTTGCATGTATATACCAGCCAATCCAGGATTCGAACCCATTCTCAGGTAAAAAGAATCTTCGCACAGAGTCCACACGCTTTACCACTAGACTAGCCCGGACACTGTTATCTCTTGTGCTATTTTATGTGCACATTTTGCATTTCGGATGGATAATACTTTTTATTCTATTTTTTGTGATTTTCAAAAATATGCCTCTTTGAAACAAAAATCGGAAACGGCAGTTTTGAAGAAAAATCCTGTCTCCTTACGCGTATATCAAATTCATTCTGTTTCAAGGAGGCAATTTTTCAGAACAATGGGGCTTCCCTATTTGGAAAACAGAAATCTTGACTTATTTTGCTACGTGACTAATTTACTCTTCATTTAATGGCAAATTGGAAGTTGATATGCAATTTCCAAATATTGTTCTACATTGTGCTGTATATACCGTTGTATCTTAAAAAATATAAGACTGTTTTCTGTTACTTAAAATTTTTCTTTTAAACTTTAGGGAAAATAACAAAAGAACTGCAACACCCTCTTTGAAATTTTAAAAATCTGAATGAATTCTACAGATTATTTCTTTACAGATTTAATTTTAAAATCTCAATCAGATAATAAAGAAATAAATATAAGATGATTTAGGAATAAATATAGGTCAGTGACATTGGCCTTGATTTGGAAGTTTTCAAAGGCATTTTACATCTTACATGTAATCGGTAAATAAATATTCATAAGATATAAAATTTTGTTTACCACTAACCCTTTCACGAAGAATGAAGCAACTTCTTGTTAATCTTAATATAAATTTTAGGTTTAGATAAGAGCATTTATACACAGTTCTAGATTCATTGCACTGTTCAGTTTTCGACTAAATAATTATATCCGATTTGTTTCGGTATCTCAGCAACCTTTGTCATTTTCGATATTTTGTAACAGGTTTGAATTACAAGAAAGGTTAAAAACGTCAAGTGCCTGTGCTTCTTACCTACGCTATATATATATATATATATATATATATATATATATATATATATATATATATATATATCACTAAAAACCAACAACTGTATATCCTAAGTGTCGGATCTACTAAGTAGATACAAGGCCACGGATGGAAATTTATATAAAGCACTAAAAATGACCAACGACACGAACAATAAAAATTGTCAAATTTTTGGGACGCCCTGTCCCTTCCTCAGGACAAAGAAAAAAGTTAAGAAGTCATAAAAACAAAGGAAACAGAGAAACAAAAACAACTAGCACTACTACTAAACTAACAAACACTAAATATTTACAGTGTTACATGTTTAATTTGAAGTTTATAAGCAATTGTGAAGAAAGAAAACCGGAGCGCTATGAATTGCGTCCGGTCTGTCGGGTGTACTCTGGTGAAGTGCGATTTACATAATTGAACAATTAATTATCGCTAATTAATTACGTCCATGTAGTAAATCGTACACTGTCTTATTCTCTCAAAATAGCGTAACTATACATGATAAAAAGAAACTAAAGAAAGATAATATGGAAGGGCAATTTTAAAATATGAATTTGGATATATTATATATTTGGAAATCGGATAAAAGAAATAAATAAAAATGTTAGCTATAAATATTTGCGTAGGTTGTTCCAGAATTCCTATTGCGAATTAATGGTAAAGTTTACACTACATAGAGAGAATGAACTTGTTTGTTACAATCCGGAATTGGGTCTAGTTCACGTTCATCCTGGTGA